GGCAGTCCGCGTTGAGCAGGTCCTGGCACTTCTCATGGCACTTGACGCCGCACTCGGTGCAGCGCATGCCCTGCCGCGCGATGCCCCACAGCAGCCCCTCGCATTCGTAGCAGTAGGTGGGCGTGGTGGCCGTCCACACCTCGAAGTTGTGCGGCGTGGTGCAGGAGATGGGGTAGATTAAGGCTTGCAGGGTCTTCTTGTAAACATGGTTTTTCTGGGGGAAACGAGGGTCGCGTGGGGCTGGGCGCCCCGGACACCCCCGCCCCGCGCCCTGCTCCTCTGTCGCCTCGGGGTCACTCCCAGAGGCCCCCACTCACCAGCTCCTCATTGTTCAACGTGCTGGAGGCCAAGGCCGAGGTGATGCCCGCCTTCCGCGACTGGACCAGCGACTGTGGTGGGAAGGTCACCAGTGAGTGCGTGAGTGAGGCCGCGGGGGGTGGGTGTCAGAAGGAATCCTGGGAGGTGAACTCCCCACACCCCAAATGCTGGACTTGGGAGACACCGGCCGAGCACTGAGCAAAACTCTCAGCTGGGTCGTGCATCAGGGCAGCTCGGAGCCTGAGATACCTGCTCTGCCGCCCGTGAGCCTTGGGACCCACACCGGGGAGGACGGTTGAAAGGTCCCCGGGGGCCGGGAGGGGGGGATGTCTGGGGAGAGACCCCAGCTCACGATCACTCACCATAGCCTGAGGTCCGGGATGCATGGGGGTGGAAATCAGGCTACATTAGTCCCGAGGACTGCCTGGGCAGTCCCCGGCCTCAGGGCCACTGTGGGCAGTTGTACCGGTCACACACTGCTCACGGCGGCCCCACTCAGGGTGGGAGCACGGAGCTGCTCACCAGGTCGCTCACGAGGGGAATGGGCTTCCGCTTCCGGATGTCTGGCATACTGTCAATGATGATGAGGCCGCCACCTGGGCTACAAGACACACGGGGCACTGAGCACCCAGGCCTGTGCTCCCAGCCTGACCCTTGACCTCCCTGTGGGCCAAAGTTCAACTGTCTGGCAAATGACAAGCTGAAGCACTAGTCACCAAACCTAGGGGCGTGGTTATTTGGACTTGCGGTTCTCGTATGGGTAGGCTGGCATAGACTGGCACCCTTACACAAAGAGACAATGATCAAACAGCCAGTAAGTAACTCAAGAGGCTGAGGCGAAGGACCGCTTGAGCCTGGAGGTCAAGCCCGGCCTAGGCAGCATAGCCAGGCCCCATCCAAATAATAATAATTAGCCAGGTACAGTGTCGCACACCTTTAATCCCAGCACTCGGGAGGCTGAGACAGGGGGATCTCTGTGAGTTTGAGGCCAGCCTGGTCTACAGAGTGAGATCCAGGACAGGCAGAGCTACACAGAGAAACCCTGTCTTGCAAAAACCAAAGCCAAACAAAAATCTCCCCCGTAACCAGGATGCTCTCTCTCTACTCACCCGCCTTTGAACCATAGGGACTTGGACATCTCTCCTTCCCCTCGGGCCTGCAGGACAGACAGACAGACACAGTGGTCAGTGTGGTCATCCCTCTACTCCCAGGGCAACCTGTACACCCCTCTGTCTGCCACGTGGGTGAGAATTCAGGAAAGCCAGTCCCACATCCCCACCCCCACCCCCACCCAGGCTTTCTGGGCCTGAGCCTGTAAAGCAAGCTGCAAGACGCAGCATCTGTCAATCAAACATCGTCTGCCGGTCTGACCATGTGACATCACTCTCCCATACAGCCTCACTGGACTTTTATTTTATTTTATTCTTTGACCAGGTCTGACTAGGTAGCCCCAGTTGGCCTTGAACTGCAATCCTCCTGCCTCAGACTCTCAAGTGCTGGGATGACAGTCTGCTGCCATCCAGCTAAACATCGCTAACCTTTTTAAAAATTTTATTACGATTATTTTCATGTGTATAAATGTTTGTATGTCTGGTGTCCACAGAGGCCAGAAGAGGGTGTCTGGTCCCTTGGAGCTGGAGCTGCACAGACAGATGTGAGCCCCTCCCTACGTGGTGCCGGCAATCACACCAGGTCCTCTGGAAGAGCAGCCAGTGCTCCTAACTGCTGAGCCATCTCTCCAGCCCTACTTTTTACATTCTCTTCTTAAACGGAGAAGGAACCCGGTTTGGAATGCCTACACGGTGACATCCTGCTTCCTGCCACTCCAGCCCCGGTTTGGATGGTCACGCCCGATATCAACACGGCTCTGTCCATAGCCCAGGACGGACAAGACTCTCACCCCATCTCCTCACCTCTTCCTGCAGTTGGGTCAAGACTCAACCTCAGCCAGGCAGCCGCACTCAGCACGCCTCCAGGGACAGACTGCCGAACGCCAATTCTAACCCTGACCTCTGACCTTTCACTGCGGCCCTGACCTCTGTCTCTACCTGTGAAATTGACCCCTGTGGCTTCTCCCGTCTCAAGCCTCCAATTCTGTTCACTACAGATTTGGAAAGTCCAAGCTTCTAAGGGGGAGACTGGGCTGGGGACAGCGGGCCAGAGAGTTTGGAACCCGAGGGTCACAACGGGGCCAGGAGAGTCCAGGCAGTGACCTTCCCATGAGTCTGCCGTGGAGCTGAGTGTGGGTGGGTGGTGGGCATGATATCATTGAGCCTGGCTGTGCTGGGATGTGGATGGGGACAGGTCTTGGTGACCGGCGTGGCCAGGCGGTGGCATTCACTGTCCTTACCTCCTGCAGCTGCATCCGCACCTTGTTGAAAGCTCGCAGCCAGTTAGATTTGGCCCTGGACATGGCATCCTGCCCTTCCTGGCCCTCCTCGTCCTCTCGAGACCTGAAACTAAGCCAGGGGAGGCAGGCAGAGGTTCAGAACGGCTCTGTGGACCCCGGCCTCCTATCCAACCTCTGACGACCCAGTGGGTAGCCCTCCGGGGCCCACAGAGCTCTCTGCATCTCTGCCTGGTGAGGGCCCCGCACCGCAGACCTCCAGGTACCTCTCTTCAGCCTTGGGGGGCTCGGCTTCCTGTGCATGCTCTGCTGCTGCCCTCTCTTCAGGTGTGGCAGGCTTGGGGATGCCCTTGGCCACGTCAGGGGCTTCTGTGGGCACAGCTGGGACCTTGTCATCCTTCTGAGGTGCAGCTGGTGGGAAGCTGATGCGCTTGAACTCTTTGGGTTCAGCTACACTGGTGTCCTCCTCCTGGGCATAGCTAGCCAGGTCATCGGGCACCTCCTCCTCCTCCTCCAAGTCCTCCTCCTCCAGCTCCTCCTCCTCCTCTAGCTCCTCCTCCTCCTCCTCCAGCTCCTCCTCCTCTTCCGGCAGCTCCTCATCTTCCAGATCCTCCTCCTCCTGGTCCCAGCGGGGTGAGTCCTTGTGGTAGCTCACAGAGCTGTGGCAGGAATGGTAGGAGTCGCGGTCCCTTTCGTCATCCAGCTCCGAGCCCTGCAGGCTGTGGTCATCGGGGTCGAAGTCCTCGCTCAGCTGTGAACTGCCCTGGCTCAGCTCCCCGGAGGACGCGTAGTGGCTGCTGCCTGTGGGGCTGTGGAGAAGCGGTCAGACCTTGGCCACGCCACCAGCCCTGCACACACAGCAGGCAGCCGGGTGCGCCCTCCTGCTCAAGGCAGGCGGCCCACACCAGGCCTGTGATCAACATCAAGACAGGGCCTGTGACTGCTGCTGGAACGTGGGCCGCGCATCCGCTCATCACGGACTGAACACCTACTGTGAGCTCATTCTTTTCTGCTCCAGGAACACCGGCCCCCTGTGACCCCCACACAGGGTATATTAAGCACCTAGTGTGTGCTTGTTCTTGCGGAAGACACCAGGAACACAGGCCGCGTCACCCAAACACCTGCTTGGTGTTTATTGGACACCTATTGTGTGCACGCTGCTGTCCCGGGCACCAAGAAACACTGGCTTGGCCAGGACGTACAGCCCCTTCCTCCCCTGACAAAGACTCAGTCATTTTGACTCAGCCTCAGTACCCACTCCCTTCTCTGCAGCCCTGGACACTCTGGCCATGTCCAGTCTTCCATTATAAGCTCCTAATGTTTACCCTGGACCACCCCGGACATAACCTGTCCCTGCCTGTGGCCAGCCACTGAACCTTCTAGAGTTCATTCAGTCATTTAACAGGTTTCTGTTGTTCCTCATCTTAAACACTGCTGGCCTCTTCCCCAGCTCTCCCGGGAGCGGTACTGTAGCAGGGAACCCCTTAAGCCCTTGGTGTCAGTGGGGTGTGTATAGCTACATTTCACTGTGAGAGCTGATAGGACTCGATGTCAACCAGGGGCGATGCACACGCTCCCCCTAGTGGTGAGGTCCCAAACTGCACTTCAGGGGGAGCGGGCAGCGAGGGGCGCGCCCTCAGGTGGAGTCCCCCACCTGAGGCTGCTCCCTCTGCTTGCACCAAAGGTGGGACCGGGTGGCACCACACCTCTTTCCCACTGCCTCTCATAGCCTGTGTCTAAATCCACCCCAGCGCATTCCTGGCCCTTCACCTCCCTCAGTCACCCAGGGTCTTCCCGCTTGAGCCGCCCCAAAGCCTGGCAGCCCCCAGCCTCGCTGCTCTCTGCTGGGATCCCTGTCCCCTGGTGGAAGCCTTACTTGGCCTTTGAGGGAGAGACTCCAGCTCCGTCCTCCAGAAGGCCCTCCCCAGCGTCCCTGACCCCGCTGAGCGCTGACCCCACAGCAGGGCGGGGTCCACTCACGCCTTGCTCAGCTGCACCCACCAGCACTGACCACACCAGACCACGTGACCTGGGTGGAGGCTGGTCTCAGAAGACAAGAAGCTTCTAGAAAACCCTTCAGACCTACATAGCCTGTCCACAGCCAAGCTCAGGGGGCTCGCACATGCTGTTCCTCCGTCCCTCCCTCCCGGAGATTCTCACGGGCCCCACCAGCGGCATGCAGCTCGGCTGGTGCAGTGCCTGGTGAACACGCTCCAGGCCTGGCTGCCGTGCCCAGCACGGCAGAAACCGGAAGTGGTGCAGCCGGCCACTGCGGCACTCGGAGGCGAAGGCCAGGAGCACGTGTAGTTGGAATGATTTAAAAAGGGGCGTGAGGGGCTGGAGAGACAGAGAGGTGGCGGTTAAGATCACTCACTGCTCTCCCAGAGGACCTGGAATTCCCAGCACCCGCATGGCAGCTCACAACCGTCTGTGACATCCTCACACCAATGCACATATAATAAATCCGCTGGGGGGGGGGGGCAATGCACACAGGACGAGAAGCAGTAGCTAGGCCTTGTTTCATTTTCCGAGACAGGGTTCCTCTGTGTAGCCCTGGCTGTCCCGGATCTCACTCTGTAGACCAGGCTGGCCTCGAACTCACAGAGATCCTCCTGCCTCCGCCTCCCGAGTGCTGGGATTAAAGGCGTGCGCCATGACCGCCTGGCTTGTTTTGTATTTTTTGAGACAGGGTTTCATGTAGCCCAGGCTAGCTTCCAGCCTCCCATGTGACTAGAACAGTTGTGCGCTCCTGACCCCCTGTCTCCCTCCGTCTTGAACAAAAGGCTCCAGTGCTAAAGACTGCACCAAGGACCGGAGAGACCGCTGGGGGGCGCAGGTGTTTGCCACCAAGCCTGAAGACCCGAGGTCAACGGCGGGACCCACAAAGTAGCAGTAGTCAACGAGTTGTGGTCTGACACCCCCCACATACACACACCATAACACACGCGCCCCCAAACAAAACAAACAAATATAAACAAAAGTGTTCTGTGGGACAGGCCCGACTGGACCTGGCAGGTCCGGGTGCCGCCCCGGCCCCACAGCCACCTGAGTGCCCGCGGCTCGGAGAACTCCTCGTAACTGTGCATGGAGTCGCTGTAGGACTCCCGGGACCCCAGGGGCGGTGGCCGCACGGAGTACTGGTGCACAGAGGCGTTGGGCTGCGAGGTGGTGTAGTAGGGCGGCGGGATGCTGTTGCTTGTCTCACTCCGGTAGTCACTGTCGCGGTCATCCACGGCACTGTCGGGGTCGTCGTCTGCAGGGAGAGGAGCCAGGGAGCGCACGGAGGGGCTAAACCAACCTCCCGGGCTGGGGGTCCCCATCCTCCGCTACCCCCCGGGGGGCTGCCCAGCCAGGAAGGGTGCTCACCCAACCGTGTCAGCTGGACGGGGTGGGGACTTGGTTCTCAGAGCCTGGGCATGGACCCCCAGGCTCTCTTCCTAGTGGAGGGCACCCACTAGCTGCTCCTGGGCAAACATGCCCAACACTCAGGGCAGTTGGCTGCAGTCACCCTAGCACCCTGTTGCCCAACCATTTCCTCCACCGAGTTATCTGGCTTTTGTCTTCGGCTAAAGGGACATTCTTTGACCCAGACTCTCGCAGACCAGTTCGATAATCTCAGCTGAAACTATGGGAGCTCTCCAAAGTAATGGTTTTTTTTTTTAAAACAACTATATTTTGAACAGGAAAGCAGTCTCAGTTGGAGTCTATACTTGTTTACCAATTTTTTTTTTTTTTTTTGGTTTTTCGAGACAGGGTTTCTCTGTGTAGTTTTGCGCCTTTCCTGGGACTCACTTGGTAGCCTAGGCTGGCCTCGAACTCACAGAGATCCGCCTGCCTCTGCCTCCCGAGTGCTGGGATTAAAGGCGTGTGCCACCACCGCCCGGCTATGTTTACCAATTTTTTTAAAGATTTATTTATTTAATATGTATACCGTGTGTGTGTGTGTGTGTGTGTGTGTGTGTGTGTGTGTGTGCCTGTTGTATCCCTGCATGACACAAGAGGGCGCCAGACCTCCTTACAGATGGTTGTGAGCCACCATGTGGTTGCTGGGAATTGAACCCTGGTCCTCTGGAAGAGCAGCCAGTGCTCTGAACCGCTGAGCCATCTCTCCAGCCCCCAAATGTTTACATAGTTAGTATGTTACATTTATTCATTGTGGGGCACAGGTGATACATTCTAACATGTGGGTCCCAGGGATCAAACTCAGGTCCTCAGTTTTAGCTGCAAGCACCTTCACCTGATGAACCATCTCTCCTGCCCCAACACACAGTTCCTGACCAAACTGCAGACGCAGCCTATACCGTTTCCAGCCACTTTGGTTTTGAGAGACTCATCTGCTCTGGGCTCCATTAGCTTCCCCTTGGCCCAGCGACACCGGCTAGACCGAGTTTCTAACCACGAGTCTGTGCTTTGGCGCCTGGCACTGGAACCGGGGGCCTCATGCATGCTGGGCTGGTGTTGGGGACAAGGGCGGGGTGGCTTTCCTTTCTCAGGGTGCATGTGGCTTAGGGAACTGGGGTTCCCTCGAGGACACGGCCCTGGCTGCTGGTACCTGGCCCCTCTCTCCCACGCTTGCGGGGTGATCAGGGAAACAGAGGCAGAGATATGGGGTGAGGTTATCCATGGGGGCGGGTGAGGGGGTCCCAGGGTCCCTACCTCCCCCACCCCCACCTGCTGCGGGCTGTACACAGCTGCACGCCCCCACCTCTGGCCCTGCTGTGACCCCCAGTGTGCAGGGCAGTAAGAGGCCTTGAGGTCCCCAGGGTGCCCGGGTGCCCGAGGGACGCTGGTCAGTCACTTACTCTGTTCCCCCCAGCCGAAGTAATTCCAGTTACCTACGAGAGAGCAGGCGCAGATGACCCAGAGCCACGGCCGCACCCCAGCCTCCCGGGGCCACTCTGCCGCCCTGGGGTGAAGACAGGCCGTTGTCATCCCAGGCCAGTGCCTCCCCGTGCCCCCCACGTCATCTCTAGCACAGGAAAACGCAGGGCCCGAGCCTCCCCCTCAGCCCGAGGGTGAGATGGGGTCTTTCACCGGTTCTTGGGCTCCCCAACCGGAGAGGTCAGTGAGTTCCAGGGGGTCCCCCTGCCTCCGCATCCAGGCACTATGCCCGGCTTTGACAGGGGTGTCGGGCATTTGAACTCAGGTCCTGTCCTTTACCTGCTGAGGGAGCTTTCTCGCCCCCACCCCCCAGTGTGTCCGCTTTGTCCGTTTCCTCCCTTGGGAATGCCAGCTCTACATAAATTTTGTCATATTTACTTTTTTTTTGGCGGGGGGAGGCTCAGAGAGGGTGAGTGAGCAGCTTGAAGTCACACAGCCTCCCATTGGCAGGGCCGGAGACACAGCCATGTTCTCCATCGCACCCCAGCACCCCACATCTCAGAAAAGGTTGCTGGGGTCACAAGTCTACCCCCTTGGATGCCTGTTCTGTGAAATGGGTGATGAAATGCCCCCGGGACACTCAGGGTTCAGCACTGGACAGTGGTGTTCACGTCCCACTTTGCACCCTGCTCTGTCCCCAGTTTACTGCCTAGGGGTTCTCCATCCCCTGCAGCCCCCAGGCTCTGCCTCCTCCAGCCCCATCAGCACTGTCCTGGGCACTTGGGGGAGAGGCTGGACGCCGAGGGGAGGGAGGGGGCAGATGGAGGAGGAGGCGGCGGCTAGAGGGTGACGTGGGGCCCCACGGGTGAGTCGGGAGCTGTGCGCCGGGGCCTGTGACTACAGAGACTCTCGAGGAAGGGACATCTCAGTGCGTGGGACCCGGCCCGGGACTGAGGGGGTCGGAGACTCGAGCCCTGGGTGGGACCGGCTACCACCAGAGGGAGGAGCCGCCCCTGAGATGAGCAGGCACGGGGCAGCCCAGCTCACACTTGTCCAGCTGCTCAGAAAGCTGAGGCAGGGGGATGCCCAGAATCCAGGAGTTCAGGTCAGGCTGGGCCACACCGGAGCTGCAGTGCCCCTAAGACAGCGGCCAGGTGGGGCCCCTTGGCCCCAGCCTCCAGTGTGGCTTGGCCCCGGCTGTCCCTGTCTCAGGCTGTAGAGGCAGCCGGCGGGACACGGCCGCACGCCAGACTTGCGTGGCTCTGCCAAGCTGTTGGCCATCTGCTGTGCGCCCGTGGCCTGGCCCCAGGGTGCCACCCTCTAGACGGGAGAGTGACCGTCACGTCACAGGAGAGAGGCACTCACAACACTGGCTGCTGGGCACGGGCAACGGCTTGTCCGGCTGGTCCTGGAAGGAGTACTGGGGAGGGGACGGCATGTCAGCGACCAGCGGGGACACGGTCTTACCCAACAAGCCCACTACCCCAGACTCCGCACCCCCAGAGCGGGATGGGGAGACAGACGGTGACCAGTCAGTCCTCCGTCACGGCTCCTCCTGCCCCCCCCACCCAGGACTCCCTGTGAGTCCCGGCTGCGGACCGGGACACCACGAGCACAGGGTGGTGCGGAGAGCCAGCCCGAGGCTGGTCCGGCAGGGAAGTGGGGCCTTCCAGACTGCGTCCCCATGTGTCTGGAGAGGTTGGGGTGTCGGGGTGTCCTGTGTCAGATGACCCTGGACCTCACACGACCCCAGTGCACTGGGTTCTGGGCACCGGGAAGCCGGCTCCAGGGAGAGGCAAGCAGAGCAGGGGACAGATGCCGCCGGTGACACACCTCGTCCTGGTCACGCATGGCGTTCAGCTGCTCCAGCTTCTTGGCCCAGTACCGAGCCTCCTCCTCAGGGATGTCTGCGAGCAAAGCGGCCATGTCCTGGACACCAGGGACACCTGGCCTCCCTCCCCTGGGCCCTGGCTGGGTGGCGTAGGGAGCCGCCTGGGGAACCCCGGAACGGATGGAGGTGGAGCGGGCAGGGCTCCAGGGTGGGTAGGGAGGGTCCTGAAGGCCACAGCCTCCACCAGCTCAGTCCCCATGGACGCGGTGGTCTCCGGTTGGGCAATGCCCTAGGACTCACCCAAGGGCAGCTCAAAATGTGCGTCCAGAAGGATGCGGTGGAAAGTGGGGTCCTTGGTGCCACAGATCTCGCTGTCCGCCATGATGGCCTGGGAGTCCAGTGTCAGCCACTCTCCTGGGCCCTCCTGTCATTGGCGAAGGGAAGGGACTGGGGTCAGGGCCCCCAAGGAAGGGGACAGCCCAGACTGGCCTCCCTCGAGTGGACCTCCTCATCGCGGCCCCAGCCACCCCACAGGTGGGGGACTTTGCCGATCCGGCTCCTCGCCACCCTCAGGAAACTGCCTGAGGGAACGAGACCCCCCACACCGCCTGGTACAGGAGCACTGTGAGCAACCGGGGCCCTCTGACCCTCAGTTTCTCTATTGCCCATATGATGACAATCTTCTGTGAAGAACACCGCCCGCTTCCCGGGGCGGGGGGATACCCTCACGCCTGGGGGCCACTGAGGAAATCGGGGTCCCCGTCTACACCGCTTTTGGTTCTGGCTTTCACGGATGCCACATCGCTCTCCCCCTTCATTGAGTGTTCACTGATTTAAAAACAAGCATATTCTGGTGTCTTGTCAAAGCCTGGTCCACCCTGGGGTGCTGGATCCCCAGGAGGGCAAGAGCAGGTCGGACCCTTAACCGAGCCCAGATCCCTGGCTGGGATGCGGACGCCATGGGGAGCTCCGGTGGCCACTTTGCATGGGTAGGCGGTGACCGAACTGAGCACTGTCAGGGAGGAGGCGAGTCTCGCTTTCTTTGGACCACAGCCCCCGGGTCTCTGCAGACCTCCTCCCCATCCGCCACTCGCCTCATTGGACTGGCGGATGGTCCGCAGCGGGATCCACACGGTGCCCACCATCGTGTCCCAGATGAGGCCCTTGTTCCACACCTCCACCGTCAGGCCCAGGTCCAGGCGGTTGATCTCGCTGTGCGCACAGGAGAGGGGGACATCGGGGAGTGGGAAGGGGAGAAGAGAGGCCCAGAGAGGGCAGAGCGCTGGCCCCAAGACACACAGCACTGCCGGGAGCCCTGGCCGGAGGAGCCCGAGCGCCACGGGAACACGCTGGTTTCATTCTCTGGAGGGAAACTGAGGCCCCGGGAAGTAGCATCTAGCTCGCACTATCACAGGCAGGCAGAGCTGCGTCGGGAGGGGAGAAATGAGGACAGAAGGCAAAGGACGGACGGACACCTCCGCGGCAGTTCCTGGCCAGACTCCTCTCGGGGTGTCTGGGGTTGGCGAACCCTGGGCCGGGGACTTCTCTGCGCCACCTTTCCCTGGTCCATAACGGACCTCACCGCAGTGAGCCCCCCAGGGTTAAAAGAATGGAACACCGCAGGGTGGGGCTCAGCTGGCCGCTGGGCACCAGAACAGACGGGACCGGGGACCGTGTGCTGGAGGAGGCTGAGGCGGGAGGGTCCGGCTTGGGTCATCGTTAACCACAGTTAGGGCAGCCTGGGCTACGCGAGACCCTGTCTTCGAGGTAAATAAAACAGCCTGGCGGGGAGGCTGTGTTGTAAGTGTGGCCTCCGCGGCCCTGCCTGGCTGGGGGTTGACGGAGGGCGCAGGGATTCGGGACAAGTTTTGCTGAGCGCCCTCCCCCCGGGGTGCACCAGGTCCCGTGGGCTCCCCACAGCAAAGGCTCGGAGCGGGGCACCGGCAGGGTGAAGGGGGGGAGAAGGGCCGGGAGGAAGGGGTGGGGGGGCGCGGCCAGCTGCGGGGGCCGTGGGGGGCGGGGACCCTGGGGGGGTAAAGGGCAGGGTGGAGTGGGCGGGGCTGGGGCTGAGGGCCGTGGAAATGCGGTGGACGCGGCCTGTGAGGGGCCGGGCTGAATGAGTGGGGTGGGCGTGGCCGGCAGTGGCTCCCTCCCGTGGGAATGAGTGGGGTGGGCGTGGCCGGCAGTGGCTCCCTCCGGTGGGAATGCGTGGGGTGGGCGTGGCCGGCGGTGCTGGGGAGCCTGCTGGGGAGGGGCTGCAGAGGGGTCTATTTGGGAGTAGGGCCTGCGTTGAGGCCTGGGGCGGGGCCTGTGGAGGTGGGGTCTGCTGTGGGTGGAGTCTGCTGTGGGCGGGGCCTGGAGCTGCAGCCTATGGGGGTCTGCCGTGGTGGGGGAGGGGAGAGAGTGGGGGCGGGGCCTCCACTGGTGTCCCGGGCGGGACCTACGGTGGGCGGGGTTACAGTGGGTGAGGTGTGGGTGGAGCCTTCAGTGGGCTGGCCTGTTCGAGGGAGCCTATGGGGAGCCGCGCCTGGAGGGCGGGGCTGTGGGCGGGGTCTTCCGGTAAGGATGCTTGCTGGACTGTTTTTAGGTGGGCGGGGCCTTCAGCGGGTGGCTTGTTGTGGGCGGGGCTTGTGGCCGAAGAGGCCTGTTGTGGGCGTGTCTGTGGGGTGTCTGCGGTGGGCGTGTCATGCGTCCCGTGGGCGTGGCCAGGGGGCGGGGCTTCACACTCACAACATGAAGTCCTGCTCCCAGCTGGGCTGGCTGCCTCTGACGGCGATGGTTGTGCTCTTCACGTTCTGCACCTTCAGGGTCACGTATGTGTTGAACTTCTCTGCAGCGGAGAGCGGGGCAATGGCCGGCTGTCCCCTCCCAGGTCCGCGTCCTCACCTCAACCCCAGCGGTGGACCAGCCCGGACCCCAGAACCCCCAGTGACCGTCCATTCTCACAATTCCACGGGGAAATGGAGGCCAAGGCTCAGGAGACTGAGGCCCCAGAAGGGGCTGATGGCCCATGCAGGAGGACGGCCAGTTCAAGGCCAGCCTCAGCTGCAGAATGAGTTCCCAGCTAGTCTAGCCAGCCTAGTGAGACCCTGTCCTAAAACACAGAAGGACGGACAGCTAGAGCTGGAGTTTGGGGCGGGCGGCGTCCGGGCCTCGGGTCCCGCTTGGATCCCGGGCACCCCCTGGCCCTGGGTCCCTCCCCAGGAGCATTGCTGGCCTGGTGGGGTGAGAAGGCTCACGCCTGAGATGAACCTGCCCTCGGCATGGCAACAGCTGCCGGAGTCCCTCCTCGGGCCCAGGAGACCAGACAAGAGCAGACAGGACCGAGATGGACAGTGCAGGACAGCCAGGACAGGACACTTACCCTGGGCACCATCAAACTTGGCTTTTTTGACTGTGAAGAGACAGGAGCCAGCAGGAGGGTGTGGGGAGGAGAGGGAGAGAGAGACACGCAGAGATGAAGAAAGAGATAGAGAGATACAGGGAAGAGAGAGACGGAGAGGAGAATTAAAGAATATCAGAGGCGGAGAGGAGGAGGAGGAAGAGAAGGGAGAGGAGAAGAGTGAGGAGGAGGAGGAGGAGGGAGGGGGAGAGGGGGAGAGGAGGAGAAGGTGGAGAAGAGTGAAGAGGAGGAAGAGGAGGAGGGAGAGAGGAGGAGGGGGAGGAAAAGGCCGTCAGACAGACCTGAACAGAAGGTGTCTGGCCCATGGACGCAACCCTCCCCTCCCCCAGGCTCCAGTTCCAATAAAGCTGGAGCCGGGGTGCCAGGAAGCCTCCTCAGGCCCTCCAGGATGACAGGACGTGTGGAGGTGAGGACACCCCGACCTGCAGGGGCCCTGACTTGTGTCTCCTTGGGCTCCATGCTCAGTACTCCAGAGCCTGATGGAGGCCGAGCCCGTGGACAGACAACCCGTCCCTCCCTCTGTCCCTCCTTCCGCTCTCCAGCCGCCCTCCCCTCCTGGGGTGTGTGTAGACCATGTGCAGGTCCCGGGCACACCGGAAGGAAGCAGGGGCAGTAACATGCTTAGAAAGTCAGGCTCTCCTATCTTCCCAGACCCCGCCTGCCCGTGCCCTGGACACACTGTGGACAGTCCATGAGAGACAATCTTGTGCACATGACCACTTTTCACTTTGAAAATAGCATCAGACACACACCCGTTCCAGATCTTGAGGTTCCTGGTATGTGATTCCTATGCTATCACCAAGCCCCTGCTGAAAAACCCAGTTTGTGAAGGCCAATAAATCTGACATTGTGCCCAGCACCCTTGGGACTGTGGAGCATGAGTGGAGAATGACCAGGCCCTGGGGGAGGGAACGGGGATGCAGGCCAGAGGGACAGCGGCATTCACATTCCAGTGCTGAGTGACCAGCAGCTAGACTGAGCGCTCAGCCTTCATCCTCAGCTTACTTTCCTGGACCTCCTGGCTGCTGTCTCCTCCTCCTCCATCTCTGTCTCTCTGTCTCGTTCCCCTCCCCCTCCACGATCCTTAGCCCCTGTACTTCGGCCTCTGTGGCTGCAGGATGAAGGTTTTTGGGGCACCCCACACCCGTGCTGGCTGGAGGCCCGAGGCTCTGACAACCCAGGCCACACTCAGGCTGGGCTAGAACCCCGGAGACCCAGGACATGGGCAGGGAGTCTGCAGAGCGGAGGGGATTGGAGGGGGAGAGCCACGGTGGGGGAGGAGCCTGGGGGAGGTCTGGAGCCTGCTGTGGGGATTTCTGGGAGGGGAATGGAGTCTGAGAGGGGGAAGGGTCAGAGGTGTCTGGGGGAGGGGAGGGTGTCTGTGCAAGGAGTCTGGGTGCCTAGAGGAGGGGAGGGTGTCTGGGGGAGGGGAGGGTGTCTGTGCAAGGAGTCTGGGTGCCTAGAGGAGGGGAGGGTGCCTAGGG